TAAAGACAAGTTTAAATGAAGCGTTGTAATGTAAAATAAGCATGTATTGACTAATAAATATACATTGACATAAGAACAAAACATTATCCTTACTTATCCTTACATATTCTTATTGTTTTATTAAAGGGAAGTGATCTGTACTTAAGCAATATATGTACAGAAAATCAAATATGGTTTGGGATATAATCTACTTATTCCTATAGACATCATATAGTTTACTGCACTTTGGGGTAATTTTACAAAAATAATGTTAAAAGTAAAGGAACACTAGGGAGTTTTTATGGTCTTATATAGCCTCTTGTTATAATTGTTGACAAAGCTTTAATATTTATTGAAATCAATTCTTTTTTAGCTTAGCCTACCAGAGAATGAGCTGGGAGGCCCTAAAGAAGTCAATCAACGGTCTTATCAACAAAGTCAACATTTCCAATATAAGTATTATTATTCAAGAGCTTCTTCAAGAAAATATAGTGAGAGGAAGGTAAGTGTCAGCTATTTTGTTTATAGTATTTCTGAGTAATTTTTTCAAAGGAACATACTATGTGCATGAACAATAACCATTGATTTTTTTTGTGCCACTTCATTTTAAAGGTAGTTGAGACTATTTATTTAAAATTCACTTCTTGTAAAAATGTAGGCTACAAAGAAATAACTTGTATCTCTCTGTTAGAGGTTGTCTGGAGTTTTTGCTTTTTGAGAAAGTTTGATTTACATAATGATTTTTGCACAGACATTTGTCTACTTCATGCCTCCAATAATTTAAACCCATGAGGAATAATGAATATTAAAATATACTACTTCAAACTAATTTAATTTTTTTCCTTTCTTTTTTAATTGACAAGTAAAAATCATATATATTTGTGTTGTGTAACATGATATTTTGATATATGTATACATTCTGGAATGGATAATTAAGCTATTTAACATAAGTGTTGCCTCACATACCTATCATGTTTTTGAGGTGAGAACACTTAAAATCTATTCTTTTGTCAGTTTTCAAATATGCAATATATTGTTATTATTAATACCTGTACTTAACATACTATACAGTAAATATCTAGAATTTATTCCTCCTGTCTAACTGAAATTTTGGGTCCATTAACTCATTTCCTCAATTTCCCCACCCCCCCAGCATCTGGTAACCACTATTTTACACTGTTTCTATGAGTGTGATTTTTTTAGATTCTACATATTGGTGAGATCATGAAGTAGTTTTCTTTCTGTGTCTGACCTGTTTCACCTAACATAATGTCATCCAGGTTCATCCATGTTGTTGCAGATTTCCTTCTTTCTTAAGGTTGATTAGTATTCCATTGTGTATATATACATTTTCTTTATCTATTTATCCATCAACAGACACTTGGGTTCTTTCCATGTGTTGGTTATTATGAATAATGCAGCAATGACTAGGGGAGTGCAGATATCTGTTTGACATACTGATTTTGTTTCCTTTGGGTATATACCCAGCAGTGGGATTGCTGGATCATATGGTAATTATTTTTACTTTTTTGAGGAACTTCCATACTATTTTCCATAATGGCTGTACTAATTTACATTTCTACCAACAGTGTACAAGGGCTCCCTTTTCCCTACATCTTTGGCAACAATTGCTGTTGTTCACCTTTTTTATAACAGCCATTCTAACTGGTGTGAGACGATATCTAACTGTGGTTTTCATTTGTATTTACCTGATAATTGGTGATAGTAAGCATTTTTTCATATACCTACTGATGACCATTGGTACATCTATTTTTGAGAAATGTCTGTTCAGTTCTTTTGCACATTTTTTAAATCAGGATATTTGTTTTCTTAGTTACTGAGTTCCTTATATATTTTAGACATTAACTCCTTGTTAGATGTATGGTTTGCAATTATTTTCTCCCATTCCGTAGGTTGTCTCTTCACTGTGTTGATTGTTTCCTTTGCTGTACAGAAGCCTTTTAATTTGATGTGATCCCGTTTGTCTATTTTTACTTTCGTTGTCTGTGCTGTTGGGGTCATATCCAAAAAATCATTACCGAGACCAATGTCGTGGAGCTTTCCCCCTATGTTTTCTTCCAGTAGCTTTACAGTTCCAGGTCTTACGTTTAAGTCTTTAATCCATTTTGAATTGATGTTTGTATGTGGCATGAAATGAAGGTCTATTTTCATTCCTCTGCATGTGGATATCCAGTTTTCTTGGCAGCATTTATTGAAGATACTGTCTTTTCCTTATTGTGTGTTCTTGGCATCTTTGTCAAAAATCAGTTGACTAAGTGTATGGATTTATTTCTGGGCTCTCTGTGCCATTCTCTATTGGTCTATATATCTGTTTTTATGCTAGTACCATTCTGTTTTGATTACTGTTGCTTTGTAGTAGATTTCAAAATCAGGTAGTATGATCCTCTGGTTTTGTTCTTTTTGTTCAAGATTGCTTTGGCTATTTGGCATCTTTTGTGGTTCCATATGAATTTTAGGATTGTTTTTTCTATTTTATCAATAAGTTACAGTATTTAATATACGGATCTTTCACCTCTATGGTTAAATTTATTTCTGAGTATTTTTTTGGTAGCTAT